GCTATGTACCAAAGGATGGTTGGAAAACTTCTTTATCTCTGCCTAACTCGACCAGATATTTATATGTTGTTAGTGTTATTAATCAATACATGCATTCTCCTAGGACCACCCACCTCCTTGTAATAGAAAGGATTATTGCTTACTTAAAGAGATGTCCAGGGAGAAGTATATTCTTCAAGAATAATGGTCATATGAAAATAGAAGTGTATATAGATGCGGATTGGGCTGGATGTGTTGATGGCAGGAGGTCCACATTTGGATATTGTGCATTTCTAGGGGGAAATCTCATTTCCTAGAGAAGCAAGAAACAAAATGTTGTTGCTTTCTCCAGTGTAGAAGCATAATATAGATCAATAGCCAATGGTGTTTCAAAAGTGTTATGGCTGAGATCCTTGCTTAATGAGTTGGAGGTTGATTATGAGAAGCCTTTGATGTTGTATTACGATAATTAAGCTGCAATTAATATTGCCCACAACCCAATACAACATAACAGGACTAAGCATATCGAGGTTGACAAACATTTTATCTGAGAGCGAGTCGCATCTCAAGTCGTATGCCTTCCCTACATTGTCTCAGACATGCATGCAGTTAGCTGATATCTTCATCAAAGCAATCACAAAAATCATATTAGAGACAAATCTATGCAAATTGGGCATGACAAATATCTAATCCCAACTTGAGGGGGAGTGAAGAAATAGTTGGTTAGCCATGAGTGTGGAGTTCCATGCCCACTCTCAGTCTCTAGTGTGTGTGGTTCCATACCCACACCTAGTTGTTTCTAAATTCTTTTAACTTGGGCCAGTTGGCCTTATCCATGTTATGTTTATCCTTTTTTCTTTTTTGTTTTATTAAGACTAGGACTTTATGTTTATTTCATTTTCTTGTAAGGAACCTAAAGCTATAAATAAAGGAGTGTATAGGGCAGAAAATACATCAATCACCAAACCCCTTTCTTCTCTCTTCTCCTCCCTTCTCTTCTTTGTATTCTCCTCTCCTCTTCTTTTCTCTTATTCTCTTTTCTGAATTACAGTAAAATAGAAATCTACTTGCTTTATTCAAGTCTTCCCATTTCTCTTAAATTCACCATGATTTTTTTTTGATACATGGGGGAGAATAATCAAGACCAGTGGGGGCAAAGACTTGGTGAATTTAACCCAAGTCATGGTGAATTTAAGTTGAGGCGTTGAAATTTATTTAAATAACCTTGAGCCGGGGGATCCATTTAAGCCAAATCATATTTTAATTAAACGTATTTTTTTCTAGTCTATTTATGCTATCCTCCAGTTGTTCTTTAATTAAATGGTTGGACCACACTCCAATCGGGTCTATCCACAGTCTATCGGACTTGTTTATATTGGTGACATTTTGCAAGTAGGTGGTTACAATCTTCAATCTCTGCACAGTTTGGGCATTTTGGGTCGATTTGGATTCCTCTCTCTCTCGGAGATTTCTTTTTATGGGTAGTCTATCTAAGGCCCCATTTGGTTTGCAGGAATAGGGATCTGAAATTGGAATCGAAATGGGTTATCCCGATTTCAACTGTTTAGTTGAGCGGAATCGAAATTTCATTTCCATTCCTACTAGAATGGCATTCCTCCATTTGAGGGAATGGCCATTCGCTGTCCTTCCATTGGGAATGAAATCTCATTCCTGTTGATTCCAATTTTTATTCTCATTCCTGTTTGAACCAAACAAACTATGGGAATAGATCATTCCAATTCCAATTCTAATTCTGATTCCGACTATGAACCAAACAAACCCTAAGAATAATAACCATAAGAAAACCTTTATTTTTTCTGGCTCATTTCTGTCTGAACCAAACAGACTATAAGAATAGACCATTACAATTCCAATTCTAACTCTGATTCCAACTGTGAACCAAATGAACCCCAAGAATAGTAACCACAGGAAAACCTTTATTTTTTCCGGACATTTGATTTTCCTTGTTTTGCTTATCAATTTAGATAGGGAAAAGGGAAGGGTCTAGGCTATTATTTCCTCTCAATAAGTTATATGCAGTACTCACTGTCAATTTCCCATCAGGGGTTAGTCCCCAATGTCTAGTGTCCGAACTAGGGTTAATGGGTTGGTGAATTGACTTTATTTTATTTACTTATTTCTCGAGGAACTATATCTGCCAATTTTTGAAAGTGCCATAAACTGTAATTCTAAGTAATGAATTCATTTACTTTCTGATTTTGAAGCTGTGATTCCTCTAATTGGGTTCCTATCAAATCTTTTATTGGCTTCAATTCCACCCAATTGTCCAGCCAGAAGTTGCATTTTTCCCCATTCCCAATTTTTCACATTGTTCCTTTTCAAAACCTCAAGAGAGCCTCCTATCATTCATGAGCTTTATTGTCTAAAATTCACCTTCCTTTAGATTTTCATTAATTCACTGTTAGTGATTATTAACAGAAGTTGTCGACATAAGCGTTTGAATATTTTAAATGACTAAATTACCCTTGAATGGCAAGTCAAGCTTATTAAATGTTTTATGACAAAATTACCCTGACCCATGCCAAGCCCATAGCAGCCGAGTAATTTTGTCTTGAAGTACTTAATAATGTTGACTGATCATTCAGTTGGTTATGTAAAATAAATAAATGCTTACATAAAAAAAATCTATTAATGATAACTAACAGTGATCTAATGAAAATCCTAACTGAAGGTGAGTTTTTTTGGAGGTTTTAAAAAGTGAAAAAGTCATGCTGAATTTTAGATGACATCTCTCAATCTTTTTTTCTCTTTTGCACTTGATCAGACATGAATGAGAAAAGTTTAGTCATGTTAAATTTGTGTTTGTATCGATGAAGGGGAACGTAGCTACTCACTTTGTAGCCCATAAGACTGAAAAGTTCTTGTTTCTGCTAGATTCCTGCTCGCTGGCTGTTGACAATCCTGAATCTTGATGCATCCGTTGCGAGTAGTTTTTAGGATTGTTTTTCTTTTGCCTATAAAGTAAACAAAATAACAGAGTGGAGTGGAGGAAGAGTGGTGCCGTGGTGGTGGGATCAATATAGTTGGTTAAGTGTGGATTAGAAGGGTGAAGACAGGTGATAAGGCACCTGCATACCAGGTAGGTCAATAAGAGATGAGGAAGATTGAAGACTGAAGATGCAGAGGGCCAGAGGGACAAAAGAAAAATATGGTCTGGAAAACACATTTATGATTGGAAAATTAAGATACACATGGATATAATAAAAAATTACATAAATCTCAAAAACACATTAATAACAATAAATATCATTAAAAAAATATATAAAGTGACTCCCGTCTTTCCCATCCATTATCAATATTACATGTTCATCCCCACTCTTGTGTATGGGAATTAATATAAACTCATAATATTTAAAAAAAAATCCAAACTCTTGATTTTAGTACATTTATTCCCACTCCCTTGTTTATGACATGTATGCATGTATAAAGCATATTTATCAATTATGTGGATGCATATTTTGCCTTTTAGGCATAAAAAAAAATTGTGGATATATATATAATTTTAGTGCACTTGACACATATGACATACTATATTGGGTGACGACAAATCTAATGTCAATTATATGGATGATTCATCATATAATCTCATTTATGAAAATAATTTTGATGATGGAGATTGTTAATCTAAAACATTACAAATGGTCATTTGAATAATTAGAGAACCTTGAATTTTGAAACTTGAAATGTAAAAAATTCAAGATCCATTTGGTTTGCAATTAGAATTGGAATCAGAATGGCCTATTCCCAGAGTCTATTTGACTAGACAAAAATGGGAATGGGGATAATAGTCTATTTGATTCAGACAGGAATAAGAATGAGAATTGAAATCAGTAAGAATGAAATTTCATTCCCAAGGGAGGGACAGGGAATGGTCATTCCAGCAGGAATGGGAATGGAATTCCGATTCTGCCCAACCAAAGAGCTGGAATCAGAATAGCCCATTCCAATTCCAATTCCAAACCCCCATTCCTGCAGACCAAACAGGGCTCGTAATTCAATTTTAATTATCACATGTTAATTTTGTCATGTATAACTTGAATTAATTTTTTTCTTAATTTTTAAACCTCATGGCTTGCAATGCCTTTAGACTTATGTCTCGACTTTTTGGGCGATTGCACCTGATCTACTCCTTTAGCATTGAGTCCCATGCTGAATAAAGTTCAAAGCCATCCATCTGCTTGCATGATGGCTCATCACTAATCGAATGAACACCAATGAATTTACTTGTGGTCACTTGCCCCTCCGGTTCTCCCTACAGCTTGAAAATCAAGAAGAGCAACAGAGGAAAACATGTGACAAGGTCTCCTGAAATCTAAAACCCTGCAAACACCTAAAAATATACGCATCCAGCCACACAGTAGGAACATCTCCCCATGAACTTAAAAGATACATATACGGGAGATATTCTCAATGAGCGGCTAGATCCATGTTATCAGAGCTTTTACTTTTAGGTATCCGGGCTCTACATTTTACCCATATCAGCCAATTCATATTGATACTGTGAACCTGAGGCTGCATTTGGTAGGATGCAAAAATCATTTGGTTTTGGCTTGATAAATTTTGTTTTATGTTTGGTTATACTTGTGACGAGTATGTACACTAACTTTTAAGACTGGAATCTACCTTATGAGCAACTTGAGTGCAAAAGTTTGTCTCAACTTTTTGAAAGCAGACTTTGCCCCATTTTGAATGCAAAAATGTCAGAAAAAGAAAACAACAAATTTACTTTCATTTTCAGTATAAAGACGTATTCTTACCAAGCAATTGCAAAACTGAACTAGAATACAAATTTACCTTGGTTTTGCACTTGCATTCTTACCAAAAGCAGCCTTGTATACAACCATAGAGTGGAAATCTCATGCTGAAAAGTATGATAATGCAGGTTTGAGTCAGAGATAAAAAAAGTAGACTGCACTTACACGGTAGTCACTGTCTACTCCCCATGGCATTACACTTCATGGTTTTCATATTATTCCTCATGCTTTTGATGGTAAATAGGATAAAGATGCAATTTTCCAGCTTCTTATATAAATATATTTATTTCGAAAGTTCATTATTTCTATCACATAGGATCCCCATACATATCTAATTTGTATAACGTCATTAAATGCTTAATGCTTGAAGAATGAGATCACCAAAGGAAATAAAATAGCACAATTGTGACCTACAACGTCTTCAACCTGATACAAGTGCATCATTTAAGTGAATGACCGCAAAGCTCCCACCCTATCTCGGGGAATCAGACGTAGTTCAGATCCATGCTTAAGGAAGACGTTCCCTGAAAAAGAAAAATAAATAAATAAAACTTTGTCTAGAATTAATAGAGGACCTTCAAGTAACAATTTATTCTGATTTGTCATGTTTGATGGTTCTCTTTGTAATTGGAGGCACACACTTGGTACAGAAATTCAGCCACATATTGCAATATGAAAATTGAAGACAGGGGGGGGGGGTGGATAACTGAATTGAAGAAGCTCTAACCAGCCAGAGAGAACATTAAACTTTGGAGGAGTTGTTCCAACCCATAGGATCTAAGACGACCTACTGAATTTGCCAAAACTCATCAAGGGATCGGGGGGTAAGGAAACTGAATTGAGGCAAGCTCTAGCCAGCTGGAGAGAACATAAACTTCATTTCCATTGGAGTTGCTCCAAGCCTCCAACCCATAGGTTCTACGAAGACCTACTGAATTTGCCCAAACTCATTAAGGTACTCACCCTCTTACCTCACTGGACCTGTTGCCCAGAGAGCAATCTCCGATCTTTTAGCCTCACTCCCAATAGTGAGGTTAAAAGATGAAAAGTAAACCTTTAACTTCAATCAGAGTTGCACCTTGGGCGTAAACTTAACTGCTTTTCGTTTTTTTTTTTGCTCCTTGCACTTGAAATGTGAATTCAGATAGAAAATTAATATATGGATGTATGCGCTTGGGCTCTTTGTTGTGAACCTTGTATGAACTAGTGCCAGTGTGATTCATCGATTTATTTTTCTAATGGTTCCTTGATCTTCTGACGTCTTCCTAGAAATTGATCATATTTCCTTTTTGCTATGGAAGAATCGAAGGTGATTTTTTTTTTAATAAGTAAAATGGAAAGGAAGTGCAACCAAGTGTCAACACTGGGGAAACTATCCACCTATAAGATTATTACAATAACAATGATATGGTCCCACCCATTATCAAGGATGCCCTCCTCCAAAGAAAAGGCAACATAGAAACTAAAGTTTCAGAATGAGCACATACTACACTTATAACATCCTGATAGACACCCCTTTTGTGTGTGTGTGTGTATCTTGCTTTCTTTAGCTTTTTTTATGGGTAAATTGTTTCCCTAATTGAAGTAGAAACCAGAAAACATTAAAAATGACCTGAAATGAACAAATTAAACAGTAAAAGTAAAAGAGAAACAGCATTACATGATCTATTTTTGTATCTACGACTAAAAAATGGAGGAAAAAAAGCAAAGGGACAAAACCTCAAGCATGCTGAATTTGGCAAAGATATACAAGATACAGAGAGAGAGAGAGAGAGGACGCTTTATTGCATTTACAAAAATTGAGAGGAAAGTAGAAGAAAAGCTTGTTGTGATGAATACAATGACAGGGGCTACTAGTTAAATCCCTGTCACAATAAATACATTAACATTTCTGTTTTCTTTTGCCCCAAATCCATTTTATGGATCTCTAAATTGAAAACTGATTTTATATGATTTTCTTTACACCTTTTTACCTTTATTTATACAGCAAGATACAATTTAGCTAAACTACACCTAAAATTTATACACCACCAATATAGAGGCACCAAAATGAGGGATAAGGCTCCAAGAAAATTCCTCATCACCTTGACAATTATGTTAGATCATTTGCTGTTTCTGAATGATGGAAGTCATTATGTTTTGAAGTGGAAGATTCATATATTTTAGTTTCTAATTCTTCCATCTTTTTGATTAGTAATAATCATAAATATTATTGAGTGTGATTAAAGAATTATATATGGAATTTTGTTTCATGCCTAGCACCTCTTTTTGATTGGTTTACAAACTGCTACCTATCCCAGTTGTTCTTTTTGTATAATGTATATTACATTCCCCTGAGAGGTATCCTCCAATACAACATAGCCCTATTTACAACTGGTTTTTGCTGAGCATCAGCAATGCTGTTGGTTTATCTAAGTGTCCATTTGAAAATTGTTATTACTTCCCTAGTCAAGTTCAAGCTTTGTATATTACACAAAACCCTACTTCTGTTGAATAATTTTTCAGAAGAAAGTGCTACTGAATCTGAGGATGACAAAAATTGAGGGGGCTGTGAATATTAAGGAGTTTAGGCCTATTAGCTTACTTCACAGTTTCTATAAAATATTGGCAAAAGTCTTGGCAGAAAGAATGAAAGGGGTGATAGGTAATGTTATTTCAAATAATCAGAGTGCATTTATTCCAGGCAAACAGATGGTGGACTCAATTTTAGTTGCTAATGAGTTAATTGACTCAAGGAGAAGACAAGGTATTCCGGGGGTTGTTTGTAAGCTTGACATTGAGAAGGCTTATGACAATGTCAATTGGAATTGTTTGGATAGGGTGTTGGACTACATGAATTTTGGACAAAAATGGAGAAACTGGGTTAGTGTTTGTACTAAGACCTCTAAATTTTCAATCCTAATTAATGGGCAGCCCACGGGTTTCTTTGGTAGTTCTAGGGGGCTGAGACAGAGAGATCCTCTGTCACCCTTGCTGTTCATCTGTGTTATGGAAATCCTCACTCTTTTTAGTAAGAAGGCTGCAGAATCGAGATTATGGAACGGGTTTGCTATCTCTCCAGGTAAAGAGAGTTAATATTCTTCAGTTTGCTGATGATACCCTCTGCTTTGTGGACGCATCTCTGCCTCAGTTGGAAACAGTTCTTGGAATTCTGAGTTGGTTTGAAGTGGTTACGGGTCTCAAAGTCAATCTGAACAAAAGTAAGATCATCCCAGTGGGTCAAGTTGTAAATTTGGAAGATTGTGCATAGATAATGGCCTGCCATATGGAGCTCCTTCCGGTTAAGTATTTGGGGTTGCCTCTTGGGGCAAAATGTTCCTCTTCTTCAATCTAGAGTCCAATCATTGAGAGAATGGAGAAGAAGTTGACTCTTTGGAAGGCTAAATATTTATCGTTTGGTGGTAGGGTTACATTGATTAAGAGCTCCCTGTCCAATCTCCCAACGCACTTTCTTTCTCTCTTTCCAATTCCAAATAAAATTGCAAAGAGGTTGGAACAGCTTCAAAGGAATTTCTTATGGAGGGGATGGGAGAATGAGAAGAAAATTCACATTGTTAAGTGGGAGCAAGTGTGTAAGCCTAAGGAGAAGGGTGGTTTGGGAGTTAGGAAAGTAAAAGATTTCAATGCTGCTCTTCTTAGCAAATGGATATGGAGATTTGCTTATGAGAGAAATGCTTGGTGGAGGTGCCTCATTGTGGCTAAGTATGGTGTGGATTGGGGAAATTGGAAAACTCTCGATCCCTTGTCATTTGGGGGTAGCTCTCTCTGGGCTGGTATTTCTAAGGTCAGTACTCTTTTCATGAATGGGGTCAAGTTTAAAGTTGGAAAAGGGGATAGAATCAAGTTTTGGAAGGATTCCTGGAGTGAGGAAGGCCCCTTGGCTGATGCTTTTCCCTGGCTGTTCCAAATTGCAGTGAATCAAGATTCTTAAGTTGCTGATAACATTAGTACTGCTGGGGGCTCCTTCTCTTGGACTCCCCTATGTAGGAGGAATTTGCTAGACTGGGAAGTGGAGGAGTATGTAGGTCTGTTGGGGCAAATTCAAAATCAGAGAATTGGTACGAGTATGGAAAATGAATGGACTTGGAAGTGGAATGCAGATGGTAGATTCACAGTTAAATCCCTTTTCCTTAAGATGTGCAGCTCAGGTCAGGAGAACTTACCGGATGGGCAGATTTGGAACCCCACCTGTCCCTCCAAGGTTAACTTCCTGGTTTGGACAATGGTTTTGAATAAATGTCTAACTAGGGTCAACTTGGAGAGAAGGGGTAT